GCACTTAGGACTTCATCCCAGCCAGCAAGCTAGTTCCAAACTAGGCCCAGCTATAAATGCTTGTTCATTTTGTTTAAAGCAGCATGGGCCACGTATGAACTGTAGGAAATTCATGGCAGAATTATTTGAGGAAAATGAAAATTGGGAATGGGAAGAAGGAGGAAGCACGCGAGCACGCCATCCCATTAATTCACATCTCATGCTGCGTGTGAGTTTGAGGGCCCGGCACTACATGGCAGATATTTGACAGATAAGCCTATCTAATCACTGAGCACGTTAAAGAAGTTTCATTAGCGGTGCCTAAAAATAAGGAATGCTGTACACCCGTTGAGTGGCACAGAAAGCTAATAATCCATCAGGGTGTAAATGACAGATGTATCCTAGGTATCTGCTTCAATCCATACCCAACCTCATTAAAATATCAATTTGCAATTCATAAACGAAGGGGGGAACTCCAGTGTCGCAGTTCTGCTTATGGAACAGCTTTTGATTCAGTAGAGGTGTCTGCCAACATGAGGGAAAGCAAGGCGATTTTCATCTAGTCACCCTTCCCGCTGCAGGATCCCCCCGCCGTCAAGGGTCAGAGGAGCCTCCAGAACAGCATCGAAGGTGGCACAGGTAGGCTTGACAAGAAATGTCTCCCCTTCTCTTATTTGAGCGCAGGAGCGAGGGGACTTGAAACTCTCTGAATGCTTTTGGACTCCAACTCCCACCAGCCCCAGCCAGGACAGCCATAGTTAGCCATGTTGGGAGTTGTAGTCGAGCAACATCGATGCTCATTGCAGATTGATTTTGCATTCCCCAGCGGGCGTGTCCATTTGAAAAGAGATGTAGGCGGTGGTCCCAGCAGTGAAAGTGGGAGAGTGTTGTGTCTGGGCATGGAACAGGGTTGTAATCCCCATTTCCTTCTTCGTTCACCTGGGGTATGTGCAGGCCTAATCGAGGGGAGGGGTTTTCAAATGTGTATCAAGGAATCACACCTACCCTGTGTGGGAGGCGGGATTCCAGAATCAATCTAGATAGAAAGCAGCCTGTTGAGGAAAAGCATGAACAATTCCAGATTGAGGAGAAAGTATGGCTATTCTTATTACCCCACCCTTCATCCTAAGGTCCCAGGGCAGGGTTATACAGTGGTACCTCGGGTTAAGTACTTAATTCGTTCTGGAGGTCCATTCTTAACCTGAAATTGTTCTTAACCTGAAGCACCACTTTAGCTAATGGGGCCTCCTGCTGCTGCCGCGCCGCCGGAGCATGATTTCTGTTCTCATCCTGAAGCAAATTTCTTAACCCGAGGTAATATTTCTGGGTTAGCAGAGTCTGAAACCTGAAGCGTATGTAACCCGAGGTACCACTGTATTAAAAGACAGTATTAAAAACACTTTAAAACAACTTGCAGCTACAGGCACAATACCACTTGCATGTGATCAGCACATGCACGCACGGCTGACACATGCACCAATTTTGGCGCCCGAAGGGGGTGAAGTGGGAGTGGGACGGGACGGACTTGCCTTCATCCCCCTGGGAACAGAACCCCTGTGTAAATGGGGATTCCCCTGTACATTTTTGTGCTACAAACAGGTTAGCCGTAGGATGCCACCTTAAACCAGGCCAGAGTCCTGTCTATGTTGGCTGGCAGAGGTGGTCCAGGGTCTCAGCTGAGGGACGTTCCAGCTCTGAGTGGAGATACTGTTGGGGATTGAACTTGGAACCTTCCTAAATGCAAGGCAGATGCTCTGCCACTGAGCTACAGTGGTACCTCAGGTTACAGAAGTTTCAGGTTAAGAACGGGCCTCCGGAACGAATTCAAGTTCTTAACCCGAGGTACCACTGTACACTGCTTCCCCTCTACAGCACGACTAGCTGACTGGGACATTATTTCTCTGGGGTGGAAACGCTCCACAATATTTTGCTGCCGCGGCCAAGTATTGCATGCAGATAAGTGAGCAAGGTTTCTCAGTGTTGCACTCACTCAGCACCCATGTTCTGTGGGACCAGCACAGCAGTGCTATCCTGATACACCGAGATTCACGCCAAGAAATTGGTACTTGCCAAGTAAGAAAGAAATAACTTCCACTAATTAGGAGTGAATATGGGGTGGGGGGCCCAGCCAGCTGACAGCACTTTCTTTGCCCTAGAAAAAAAAATATCTTTCCGAACACATGATAATATACTGCTGTTGGCAGGCTGGCTGTATTATAATACTTAATTATCACTTCTGACAAGATAAATCAAGCACATATTTTTAAAATTTCACATAAGCTAGCATGATACTCTGTTTCGCCTCTTTCTTGGCTTGCAAGTGAAAAGGACAGTGGCAAAGTTAAGGCCATTTCGGTATTTAACTTTATATACATATATAGATACAAGAATTATAATTGGCCAGGACCCTAATTCTTGATGCCCTACACACCCACACCCTAGGTAAAACACAATTGGCCCACTAGATGCGGTGGGACTACAACTCCCATCATCCCTTCATGATGGGAGTTTGAGTCCCTCAGATCCAAAGGGCCACGGAACTCTGTACGACGCTGTGCTTTAGACTTTAGAGGCAAGGTTGGCTTCCCCCACCCCCAAAACGAGATTGGGAGATGTTTATTTAAGAGTAATTCAGCTAATAATCTTTTTCTCTCTCCCCAGCACCAACACCCTCCCACTTAAATGTAATTTTGACATCCATTTCTTTTCTGACTAGATAATACTAGATTATAAAATTACAAGGTGGTAGCTTAAGCGTATTTAAAAGGAAGTATGCCAGCAGTACAGAAGAAGAAGAAGAAGAAGAAGAAGAAGAAGAAGAAGAAGAAGAAGAAGAAGAAGAAGAAGTCAGGCAGAATTAAGGGGAAGAACGTTTGGTGGTATTCATGCTTTATTCAAAGCAGACCCATTGAAATTAATGGGCATGTTAGGTCCATTCATTTCAGCAAGTCTACACCAAGTGAAATTAAGTTGAAAACCACCCTTAGAAATTATAGTGAATATTTTAACACAAGCCTGCCTCTTTATAGACAGATCTCCCATATCTACACTATTTCTTTTGGGGTATGTTCACACTATCTTAAGGGCCAAAATATTAAGTATCCAAAACTCTTAAGGAACAACTTGCTAAATCATCGTGTTAAGGACTAATCTGTGACACTCCAGGTGTTATAAGGGCCTCCCATTAGCCCCAGTCAGCATGATCCAGCTTTACCAGGTGATTAGAAGATAAAGCACTCTGTCTTACACTTTAGATATACTTTCTAAAGAGCATGAAGAGTCCTTCATAGACCAACCAGGAAAGTGGGTCAGATGTGTTATAATATACAGTTACTGACTCACACTCAAACCAAAAAACAAACTATTTTTAAGGAAAATTGTCTATGTCCAGTAAATTCTGGACGTATTGCAACCCTATCTCTTTGCTACCTTTCCCTCTTCTCCTGTTTCCTCAAAGACACTGCAGCTGAGTACGGCTCTTGTAGAAAAATCATGTGAATGGAAAATCTCTCCAAAATGGGATTTCTGATGCTTTTGCTAATGCAAGGACTGCATGATTCTTTTGTAAGCAAACCAAGTTCTTTCTTTTTAAGTCTTTTGGAACCTTTTCTTCTTCTTTATCATTTCTGTCAACAGATGGAGACTTGTTTGCTTTAACTTCTGAAACCCTGTAAAATCTTCACTTATTTGCAAAGCAGTCTGTAATTTATTCTAGCCTAAGTATTTCTCATGGGGAATGCTTGTTTAACGAAGAATGAGGGCAGGTGTAAAATCTAACAAAGCTTTATTGTGCTTGGTAGCAATCACCACTGTACTAACTCTGCTAGGAGAAAGAATATCTCTTCCAAAGCTCTCTAACACGCTGTGGCCCATTAGCCGCCACTGCATAGACAGCACTGAGCAAGATGGAACCATGATTTGATTTGTCATAAAGGAGCTACTGTATCTGTGATCCTATGCACAGCAGCTGCTTCCAGTCAGACTACAACCCTAACCCCACAGACCTAGAAGTCATGGTTAGGATTGTTGGTATCTGAAAGCATGAAGTGTAGGCACCATCATCAAATCAAGTCCTGCCACTCCAAGGGCAGAGGTGGGCAAGCTAAGGTCCCAAGGAATGCTCTGAAGGTATATGAGGCCACCCCCTTCCCTTGCTGAAGCTAAGCAGGTTGTGATGTGGTCAGTGCCTGAAAGGGAGACTGCATGATGACCTCATGAACTCCACCTTGGGTTCCATAGGAGCCAACTCCTAGAGGTCGTGGGGGCTTCGGCCCACACAATAAAATATTTAAGGGTGGCGGGGCCCCACTAAGTTTATGGACATTCCCATTCAAATAAGGTGTGTGCAATTATGTGATCAATTATGAGGAGCAGGACTTACCTGGGCCCCCACAATATTTTATTCAAGTTGGCACCCCTGTTGGGTTCCATGGTAGAAGAAAAGTTATATGTGAATGTGAGAAAATAAATAGCAAGAAACATTGAACTGCAGTATGCCTCACCCAGATGAATGAAAATCTTGAAATGAAAAGTTAGGCATTAGAACCAAGTATTCATGTTCTCGTGAAAAACAGGCTTCAGGCAGCTTTAAGTTTGGCAAACCCAAAGAAACTAATCCATATTAACTCTGAAAACTAGGCGGACTATTTGAAAAGCAGCTGGAACCTTGATGCAAAAGATGTTCAATAGGAACAGTCCCTGTTTTATTTTGGAAACACATCTCTTTTTCTCATTTGAAAAAGAGGGGGGGAGATGTTCATTTATCTTAGCTTCCTCTCTCTCTCTCTCTCTCTCTCTCTCTCTCTGCCCCCCCCCAACCCCATCTCCCTCTCCAAAAAAAAGCTGAATGCACAAGAGTAAACAGCAAGGTGACAATATATTCCAGCATCGATCGCTCTTAACTCGCCTTTTTAATCATTTATCAAAGGGGTTTTTTTCGAAGAGCAGCTCTGGAGTTATTGATTTGCCACAAAGGACCATTCACAAGCCCCCAAGGCACACAGCTACTTACACGGAGAAAGTATTTTACATTCCACTTTATTGACCGAGATGAAGACATCTAAATATCAGCGCTTAGTTATACGAGCATCTGCGTTGGCAAGAAGTCTTCGGGGAAGAGTAAAGGCATGGTGGGGAAACAGAAGCACAGGCCTTTCCGCTGCCAGAGAAAAAGATGAATTACAGTTCAGCCTGTAAAAATGGTATACTAGTTCATATATAAAAAAGGAGTAATGAGCTATGAACATTATTTCATTAAGAACAAAACTGTGCCTTTTCAGTAGACATATCTAGGAACACTGGATGCTTACACTAAGAAGAGCCTGCAGGATCAGGCCAAGGGACTACCTAATCCAGCATCCTGCTCTCACAGTGGCTACCAAAATGCCACAAGCAGAATCTAAGCACACGAGCATTGGTTCAAGGAAAAACAGATAAAAGGAGAATTTCCTTTTGTCCAATTTGGGGGACAAAAACTCTGGTGAGAACACCCCTGAAGAGATTTTAAATCAGCAACGTAAAGCAAAGTAAAATGTAGACTGAAAAGCATTTTAAAATGTGCTCCTCCAAGCAAGTTCCAAAGTTTCCCATTTCCCCTATCATAGAAAAGACCACACTTTGGTAAGTTGAAAAATGTTTGCTTACAAATTTTCCAAAGGTCAGATTCATGTGCTTTTCTTTACATCAGTCAGAAAAGTTGCACAAGCAGTAAAATGTAGCTTAGTTACAAATGAGTACAAATTCCTAAACTATTGGTATACGAAAACATTGCTTTCAGACTCTGTTCTTGCCAGAAAGAAAGAAAGAAAGAAAGAAAGAAAGAAAGAAAGAAAGAAAGAAAGAAAGAAAGGTGATTAAAGTCCTTTTGGCTGAACTGGAACAACCAGTTCACACCTCCTCACACTGGATTCTCAGGTAGACTGGGAAGGGAACAAAGACTTGATTACCTATTTCCTCCCAAGGTAAGGAGAAGGGACACAGCTAAGTCTGGCAGGACAGCTTACTCTATGGTAGTAACCCTTTCATGCACTAATTAGACTTAAGCATGTTGGCTGTATGAGGCTGGTTGTCCCACAAGGAGCCCTCTCCCCTCCTGTGGTTTCCAGCAACTTGTATTCAGCAGCACTGCGGCCTCCAACTGTGGAGACAGAGCACAGTCCTCATGGCTAGTGGCCTTGTCCTCCATGAATTTGTCCAATCCTCTTTTAAAGCCATCCAAGTTGGTGCCCATCATTACTTCTTGCAGGAGTGGAGTTCCATAGTTTGACTATGCATGAAGAAGCACATTCATTCAGCTTCACTGGATGTCCTCGATTTCTAGTGTTATGAGAGAGGGGGGAAACCCTCCCACTATCCACTTTCTCTGTCCAGTGCATAATTTTATACACTTCTATCATGTCGCCTCTTATTCATCTTTTCCCTAAACGCTGCAACCTTTCCTAACAGGGGAGTCACTCTACCTGCTTGATCATTTTGATTTCCCTCTTCCGGACCGACACTGACCGGCAGTGTCTCGCCAGGTGTCCTAGACAGGAGATTTTTTTTCCCCAGGTGGGGACTGAGCCTGGGACCTTACAGGCAGGAGAACTGCTTAAATCAGCCAAGCCCAGAAAAATAGGTTGAAGTGAGGGACAGATTCTGCTTCTCCTCCCAACATGCTTCTTTGACTCTAAAGTTACTCCCTATCCAAGAATGCTGAAATTTGTACAGCCCAGCACGCTCACCTGGTCTGTCCCTACGCCTGAATAAGTTTTAGAGGTGCATGAAAAGTAAAATACATTGGTACCTCGGGTTAGGTACGGTACTTAATTCGTTCCGGAGGTCCATTCTTAACCTGAAACTGTTCTTAACCTGAAGCACCACTTTAGCTAATATGGGGCCTCCTGCTGCCGCCGGAGCACGATTTCTGTTCTCATCCTGAAGCAAAGTTCTTAACCCGAGGTACTATTTCTGGGTTAGCGGAGTCTGTAACCTGAAGCGTCTGTAACCCGAGGAACCACTGTACATAAAATGTCATGAGTGGAGAAACTGTGATGTAACATCTGCACTATACTAGACTGCATCTCCTTTGGAAAGCCTTCCACAATGAGCATCATGGACCGGCAAGTTTGCAATTTTCAGTTTACAAGGCCTTTGCCAAAAACTTGTTTGAAGCAAGCTAGCAGCACATCAGAAGCAACAGCCCTTTAAAAACTAAAGGCAGCACGAGGAAGGATGCTTTCTATAGAACTTGATTATTGATTGCCCTGATTTTAAAAGTCCTGGGAGTTATACCTTGACCAAACACAGTTCATGCCTTTCTGTCCTAAGCCAGGCTTCCTCAACCTCAGCCCTAAAGATGTTTTGGGACTACAACTCCCATCATCCCTAGCCAACAGGACCCGTGGGCAGGGATGATGGGAGTTGTAGTCCCAAAACATCTGGAGGGCCGAGTTTGCCTATGCCTGCAATAAGGGGATGGGGAGAAAGCAAATCTAACACTAAAACAGGGGTTAGGGAACCTTTCTCAGTCCAAGGGATGTGCATTTGTGCATGAGCAATACACAGGTATATCTCACAGTAGAGAATGGAGCAAAGAACCTTTTATGGAGCTACCACTCGGTCATCCTTCCCTCTATTTCTGACGTTCAGGCATGAGTGCTGCTTTACATAGCCAAAACAGCATCACCCGCACAAGACCGCTGGGAACCAACTCCAAGCAGATAGGCAGGAATATGTTTGTCAGGGCCTGGATGAGTGACTCCCAGGTAGCCACATTTAGGAACCAATTTCCCTTACCCTTGAGCTAACCTGACAGAGAGCAGGCACCCTGTTCTTTTCATTGAATTGGGCATCCAGCTCTGATAATGCAGGCATGCTTTTCCTCTGTGAACATGACTTAATCCTTACGCACGTGTCAAGCTAAGGCAGGAGAATATCTCAAAAGAAGCACTGTGTCATTACAGGCCTGTGGACTTGTTGTTTTGACTGCTGTTTTGACGAAAGCAAAGCTGCCTCAGTGGTGTGTTTATTGAAGAAATCCACCAGATGTACATTCCTGGCCCTGGTACAACGCCAGTTCCCCTCTCAGCCACTCGCAAGAACTCACGAGCATTCGGACGGACGACCACGCCTCTCTCATTCCTCCAAGTTCAAAGATGGAAGATCTTGCCCACACCTTTCCAAGCCTCTCACTCAGGGAAAGGTTTTCTGAGTTAACTGAGACTGCCCTGAGAACCACCAGGTCTTTCTTCACCAAAGCACAAGACTACACAGTTTTCTAACACCCGTTAAATCTAAGCACTGCAGTTCTACACCCTAATATATTTTAAGAATGCTCACATGGATCAGCTGTGTAACAGGTAATGTTTATTGAAAGGGACGGACAGAACTCTGTACAAAACAAAGAGGGGGGACAATTTCCTAAATATATTTTTTAAAAAAGGTTTTATTTAAAAACAGCTGAAAATAATAGACCACCACTACTATGTAGGAAGCAAAACACTCTTTTCAGCTGTGGTTAAGAGGTCAACAGTTTTACAGTACTGTGAACAGCCTCCTTCCTCCCGCAGCTGGAGCTTCAAATGTATTTTTTAATAAGGTGTCTTCTATCAGAAATAAATACAGTAAGTGATATGTATGTATGTATATATATATGTATGTATGTATGTGTGTATGTATAGCAAGCAGAAAGAGAGTATATCCATTCAAAAGGTTCCACGAGGAAGTTTTCTTTTGCTCTCAAGTGCTGGGTTCAAAACTCACACCAAGGAGTAGAAATTTCAGTTGTGCAACAGGTGTGCTGCATAGGAGAATAAATACACCGGAATCACATGCAAGGAATGGAGCCAAATAATTATTATTTTTAAGGGATGGGTGTCAACAGTTTCAGCTACTCTGCAGCAAGCCAGCCAGCAGCCAGGCTATATATTATTCCGATGCCATTCTACTAGGGAAATCTAGTAGAGAAATGTTCCAAAGCTCCCTTTGCCATTTCGCTTGAAGTGGTTGCCCACAATGGACACAAACATCTCCTGAGACATCAGGTTGTCGTCCGCTTCCGTGATGCCCAGGTTGCTCAGCCTCTTCTTACGCAGATGGCTCTTCTTGAGAGATGCGGCGGAAAGTTCGTTGGCGATTTCAGAATTGCCTTCCGTGTGCTCAGAAATGCCTGCCCTTCCACGAGGCTCCCACCCACCACCGACCTGTTGATGTGTATCTTCGCACGCCGGGATGGAGCCGTCGCCCGTGGGATGAAGGTCCTTTGCTTGCTCTAAGCCAGAAACAATGACATTAAGTGGAATCCTTACGTACAACTGATTTTATTGACTACCACATCTTAAAAACAGTTTGAAACTTTGAATCCTAACAATAAGACAGGACCTGAAAATGTGTCAAAAAACCAGGGACAAAAGATGCATCTTCAGCATCCTCCTGAAAGTGTATAATGAAGGTGCTAAACATACCTCTGTGGGGAGTTCCACAGCTTAGGAGCTGCCACAGAGAAGGGTCCTCGCCCAGGCTGCCACCCCCCATGGCTCTGTGGGTGGAGGAACCGCCAAGAGAGCCCCCCCTCTGGCCAAAGGCAAAGCAGTTCATCATGGGAAGAGCTACTAGCCATCATGGCTATGTCTGCCTCCATGGTTGGAGGCAGCAATGCTCCTGAATGCCAGTTGCTAGAAACCACAGGAGGCCAGAGCTTCTGTGCTCATGGCCAGCTTGCAGGCTTCCCATTGGGGTCTCTGGTTGGCCACTGTGAGAACAGGATGCTGGACTGATCCAGCATGGCTCCTCTTATCCTGGGGTTCAGAACAGGCATTATTATTATTATTAATTTATTGAATTTATATACGGCCCTATACCCGCAGGCCTCAGGGCAGTTCACAGGTATTGTTCCCTGCTGTTTCTGGGTGCTACCTTTCATTAACAACTTACCTGGGCCACTTAAGATTGTGCCTCCTGAGCTTTCTGGAGCGCTCTCTTTGACAGTAGGCTTCACCAGGACCACTCCATACCCTTCGTTATTATGTATTACATTGTTCACCATTGTTATCTTGGGAACGTCATAATTTTCATCCAAAAAGTCCTAAAAGCCAAGGGTGAGAGACATGCCCAGTCCAGAAGGTAAGATTGCTAATCTTCTCATTTCATATATTTATTATTAGGAAGTTTATGCAGTGGTACCTCGGAAGTCGAACGGAATCCGTTCCGGAAGTCCGTTCGACTTCCAGAATGTTCAGAAACCAAAGCACGGCTTCCAATTGGCTGCAGAAAGCCGTGGAAGCCCCGTTGGACATTCGGGATCCAAGGTACAACTGTACTCTGTTTTCCTCTACTGTGACAATTGTCAAAGCAGTTCCCATAATAATAATAAATGTAGGGTAATCTTTAATAAGAACAAAATCAACAAAACTCAACTATCAGATCAAAGACAGACAACAAGATCAACACCAGAAACTAGAAAGGGAAAAATGGTCAGGGAATCATGTGAAGAAAATACATTTTTAACTTCCAGTGGCAGCAGTCCAACAGGGAGGTCACAGGGTAGGTGCCACTACAGAGAAGGCCCTCTTCTAGACCACAGCCAGGCGCTGTGTAATCCAATCAGCAGACCCTCCCCATCAGATCACAGTGGACAATAATGACCGCAATGGAGAGACCAAAAGCAGGTTCCAGCATAACACTAAGCCAAGGATGGTGACTTCTTTCCT